GGTTATTGTGAGGATATAGAGTTTGATCCCAATTATTTTCTACCTGGATAAAGATATCATGATTTATTACAATTTTAATAATAAACTTTAATTAATTTAATTATACTTAACAATAAAAAAATTGTAACTTCAGTATTCTTTGGAGTGCAATCATGAAATTTTGGTATGTGGTACTTAAAAGGTATCTTTACAAGGTAATTGTTGTCTTACAAGTATTCCTTGTGAGGGAAAGTTTTTCTAATGAATAGAATTATTGTGTTCAAAATTAGCTGTAAGTTCCCCATAAAACAGCGTAGCTTTGCTGTTTTCATAAATGATGTGCTCTATTGATCAAGCACTTTATCTCTCATTGTGGCAAGTCCATTGCTGTGATTGTTCTCTGATTCTATCCAAGTTTCCATGTATCTATGTACGCTACCACCCACGCAGTTGCTCAATGAACGAGAAATAGGTTTATACACAATTTATATGGACTTCCGGTTGCTTGGCTGCCCGACTGTTAATGCAACATAAGAACATGACTCAGAAAAAAGTATAAAACAGGAAACTTCTCTCCTAGTGATTTTGTACATGATAGTCTCCACATCATACCCGCACACTCCTTTCCTTCCATAGTTTTAGTCCCTCTCTCTTCCACTAAAATTGTACATGTTGTTAAGCTATGCATTGTTAGTATTTCTCCATAATTTTTTTAATTCTTTCCCTTTAACGCCTCTTGTACCACATCTCTGTCTATGTCTTTTAAGCTTTGTCTCCGTTTCATTGCTGCTTGTTATTGTGCCTCTCTTCTCTATTGGTATGTACCAGTGATGTAGTTGATTACTTAATAGTGTTGTGCAATAATATTGACATTTGAGGTCTTACAAAAATGTATGCCACGGTCACACAGGCCCACATGTATGTCACTGATTCATCTACATGTACATGTATCTGAAATGAAGTAATGGCCATTACACACTGAATAGTATTACAGTTACCATTGCTGTTTAATTTGATTTACCATTATAAATCATTTCTATGCACCTTGCTCTTTTTGCTCTTTCTTTTTCATTGCTTTTATTGTCTCTGTCTCTTGCTGATATCAAGTATTCATTTAAGTAAGTTCAATTACATATTTTCACATTTTATGTTTCCCTGTATGATTATAGTCTAATAGGACTATGCATGCATGACCATGCATTGTTTTGTCATTCTTTTTCTTTTCAAACAATATTTTTCAATATAATAATATGCTACTACTATAAAGTGCAAGCATGAAACATAAAGAAGTTCATGAGACAAGGTTGATCCAGGGATGAGAATTAGCAATACAGAAGTTGCATAATGATAAATCAAGTAAGCAGGGCAAATCTGATTGTTGCCTGCCATCAGTAAGTAGGCATGCACAAATATTTCTTGTAAAAAGTGAAAGTACTATATTTGAACAAACAACTACAGAGATAAACATGTTTATGCATTCTCAATGAGGGGATGAGGCTGAAGGTTTTAAACTCCCAAGGCTTTACATTACAAGTCCTAACAACAATGATGTGCTTCACTCAAAATTTAGCTAGTGGTACCAATGTTGTTGCAACCAAATTTCATATTTTGGCTATTTTGACTGCACTTTGTTTCAAATATAATGTAGCCAAGGATTGATTTACAGGGCTCAAAAAGCAAATCAGCTACTTTGAGAAATTTGTTCTGGACCATTGCATTTAAATTTCAACCGTGCTATACCACTAGCTAATGTATGTATCAAACACATTATTGCAGTTTCTTGGACTTGTAATGTAAACCTTTGAGTTTTCAGCTAGAAAACTTCAGCCCCACCTCTATATTAATAACGCAGAAAGTAAGTTTAGCTGATTTTCTCTTTAGTTGAAGTTTAAATTTAGTACTTTCATTTTTTATAACAATTAACTGTATTTGCCTGCCTACAGATCTTAGGTAATTGCACTGCTAACTTTCTTTTAGAATTTTTTATTGTTATGTAACATCTGTATTGGTAATTTTCATACCTGGATGAAGTGAAATGACTCTGTAGCATAAACTACTTTATACTTCATGCCTACACTTCATAGCTGTAGCGTATTATGACATTGAAGATATTTTTTCCAATTAAAAAATGAAAAGAATAACAAAAAATCATGCAATGGTCATTGCTTTTTTGGGAAGCTCTTTAGTGAATTTTTTTTACTTTTTAGAAATTTTTATATTTTTACTTGACAACACTACTATTTTGGAATTGGAAGTCAGCATTTCGAAGTCAGTGCTAATGCACATGCACATTGCAAGTCATGTAGTAGTCATTTGTGTGTGCAAACAAATTTTTCGGTTTGTGAATTGTTTGTGGATGTGATGTAATGACTGCCAGGACCTGAGTGCCCAACTAGGGTAATGGAGCTGCTTGACTTATGGCCAGTAGGAAGTGTAGTACTCTCTTCCCCTGGCGCCGAAACTAGAAAAGTATCTAATTGCAAAGACATGGGTCCACCGCCACAGCCTCAATTGCCTGTTTTAACAGGAATGTTACAGTCCACTAGACATAAAGACACACGTGAGTTTCATTTAAGATATATTTTTAACAAAATTGCAATACGTTCATAGTTTGTTTCTTGTGAGTATACTACTAGTACTAAGTAGGCTTGGGTGGGCAGGCAATGTAATTGATTGTTTTATTTTCACTGGTATTATGAACCCAGTGTGTGCTAATTTATGCAAACAATGATAACTATTGCATTATTGTATTGTAATTTGGACTGCAAGTTACAGATCCTTAGGAAAGAAATAAACCTGAGGTCTTTGTGGCTGCCTCCTTGAATTGTGAGGCTTGCACTCTAAGCGACTTGTTCACAAAGGCTTCTTTTTGCCTCTTATTGAATTTGAAACTTATTTATTGAAAAATACAGTTGGAGCATGAAAAGTGACAAATTATAGTTTCTCATATCTAATTACAGGCAAAATTTGCACCCAGTTTAGTCTATACATTGCATGTATATAAGACCACGATATTAAATAGTGGTATGCATGCGTGTGGGAAATGAGACACTAAGAATCAAGTTACTGTGGCCTAATGTGCCTTTTATGTGTGCGTGTGTTAGCCATCAATTTAAAAAATGATCAACCCCTAAACGTTTTTGACAAGTGACACTATTTGCTTTTGTGTGTCTTTTGTTAATGGTATTGAAAGGAGTCAAAATTTTAGACGTATTTTTATTCTGTATTATAGTACTAGCTGCTGCCTCACACGCTCTACACGCTCTTCAAAATTTAAGGAGAGCAAGATGTAGTGGAGGAGGATCATTGTGGCATAGGAGAGGAAAAAGGTCTCTACAGCCATCGAATTGTACTAGTGTCAAGAAACTACCTGTTTGGAAGCACAATTTTGCATACTTGTCAAACATGGACCCAAGTATTAGTTACATCAGACTAACGAAAAGCACTGTTAGATGAAGGCTGGTCTTCAACAAAAAGTGATTGAATTAATTGATTTAGAGATTTTAAAAGTTCTATTAAATTAGAAAAGGTAGCGTTGTCAAAAATGAAAAAAAAAAGATGGAATCCAATTATATAATTTTTTAGTTCAAGTAATAGTAATAAACATTAATTAATATGGATAAATTAGTCATAAATTATTTAAATATTTTAATCCTACTTAGCATAACCTACAATAACGTTATTGAACTTAGGCAAAAGCCTTAAATTAATGGCATTTGTTTTGATGTTTGTAATATAAATACTCCTTCACAATATGACTGGTAGGCCAATGTACCACCAAGTTCTATTCATAACCTTGGGCAAGTTGACCTTTAGACACATTTTTGTATAATCCAGCATCAACAGATTTAAGGACTAGAGTAATATTTTGAACCAGCCTTAATAGAAACAATAGTAAATCAGTCAGAAATAAATATCTATTCACAAGCTAGGAGATCATCGCCTTTTTATGCAATGATCAATTTAATTTATTCCTTAAATGGTCTTTAATATATAAATTATGTTCATACGTGATTCATAAATCAATAATTACAACAACATTTATCTATTTTTAGGGATTCAGTGTAACTCTACTGCAATTCATCGTTTTTTTCATTTCTGCAAAGCAGGGTTTGAAATTTCTCAATAATTTTTTTGACTAATTCTTCTTTATTAATAAACATTTATTATCATTTGAACTAATAATTTTATGATTCAACGTAATCCACTTGTTTCTTTCATTTATTGACAACCCTACTTCTTATTTAAAAGAATTTATTATGTTTACCACTTCATTGTCTGTATTACTATTAATTGGACTTTGCATTCACAATTTTTCTGGTGAAAAGAACGTGATCAATGTTGGCTGTAATTGTAGTTACATTATAGAAATACAATAGATCATAAAAGTAATTGTACTTTGCTGGCTCTAACAATTCCTTTACCTATTTTAACTGGATTTTTAGTGTCTTTAGTTGATGCATTGTTTAGAAAACATTTAATTAGTAATAGCATAGCAAAGTAATGTTCCTTTAAGCCATTTCTAATTAATTGATTACAACTTATGCATCATAACTATGCTTATGGAACCACACCTCTATTCCTTTAAAATGTTATGATTTCCCACCATTTTACACAGTGTATAGAGATATCCAGTGGTATATAACATGGAAATAATTAAAAATTACATCAGGTAAGGTAAATTTTATTATTTTCGGAATTAGTTCTGGAAAGTAATGCAAATTTTTTTCAATGAAATATATATTTTGAAACTGTAATTTTTGTAATTTTTATACTGCCAGTTGCAAAACTGAGCACTCATTTCCACAAAGCTGATAGGGATAGATTTCTGTAGATGCATAAAAATTTTTGAGACTGTGATGGACTTTACTGTAAATACTGAAGGTGTATATAGTCTGCCCAAGTAAATTTATTGGTAGCAGTCCTGAAAAAGATGCATTTTGATGACTTACTCGTGCGAAGTATTTCATTTAATATTTAATACGTCATGTTTTACAAATGCAGTTCCAGCTTTACAAGTAAATAACCTTGCAAGAAAGTTGAACATAAAAGTTTGTACCCACATGCATTATGTAATATAAATTCTGCTTGTACTAGTTGCTGTGGCTAAAAATTCAAAGAATACATCTTGAAGTATAGAGAAAGCAATTTCCCAAATGCATTAAAAAATTGGCAGTCGCACAAACATTAAAGTTTTGGAATTTACAATGACAAAAGTTCAAAATAAATTATACAACAATCAAAAGTATAAATTGATTAAATTGTTAAGGCAGACTTCCATCACATCCTTCAATCATAAATTCAGTACCAATTCATCATTGATTGACAACTATTCTCTGGAGAGAACCAAAAATTTACATTTCAGTACGGAAACTCTAATTTGCACTGGTGTATCCAGAAAATGGAAGAGCGTGATGAGTGTGCGTAAAGTGTGTCGCGATTTTGGCCACACCCCCTTTTTACAATGAGCAAAAGGCGTTAATTCATATCTATGGTTAATTTGCGGCCGTATTGGCCACCATTGCTGAGGGGTGGGACCATATGGTGCACGTGCGATGTACGTGTATCGCGGCATGTTGGATGGGCCAGTTCTCTATCATTTTTTTCATGTCTTTTCAAACAGAAAACAAGAAAGGAATGTATAACAGCAGTGTCTGCGACAGAAATTAGTCTGTAAGAATGTCTGCCACCTGCATTCTTCTGGGATTTGCTAAACTAAATTCATCAATGACTCCCTCTACATCGATTTGGATATCTTTATGGATATGGAGTAGACTTAAGCCAGTTAGTCTCTCTGTTGTCATCGTTGAATGAAAAGGCGTCTTTGTCCTTTTAAGCGAGATAAATGACCTCTCAGCAGAACACGTAGTAACAGGAAGAGTGGAAAAAATCTGTTGGAGGACTGTTATGTTCGGATACATTGAGGAGACTTGTTGAAGTGCGGTTGCCAGGTCACTTGGGAGGCTAGTTGTTCCGTGTTCTTCAGCAAACCTCTGCCACTTAACTTTCCAGCACTCTCGTTCACTGGCAAAGGAATTTGGAGATAGAAGATCATCCTTATACTTGTCAGCCAACTGAAATGAATGCGTCAAAAATTCAGGAACTGGCAAAACTAGCATTGCTGAAGGTACGATACAGAGACCAAGTAAAGCAACAGATTGATGACTAGAAAACCTAGATTTTAGCTCGGATAACAAATGGTCAATAAGGGGAATTGATATTGTATGAAGGTAGTACTCTGAAGGGGAACTGGCAGGTGTATTGCTACGATGAGTTTGACGGGCACGGGTACGTGGAGTAGATGGAACTGTGCCAGCAGTGTCACACACCTGCTTGATTTCAGGAAACAATTCATCATGGTAGGTGTCAATGTTATCTCTTATGTTCTGAATTGTTGATGTTATGGTCTCTATTTCCTTCACAGCATGTATGATGTCTGTGGAGCTTCCCTAGAGATTGACGGTCAAGGAGTGTAGATATTGAAGGGATGACTTAGTGATGTGTCTGTGGAGCTTCCCTGGAGATTCACGGTCAAGGAGTGTAGATACTGAAGAGATGACTTAGTGATGACAAAGCTGGAAATAAAATCAGTACTGGTAATGGCATGCCTTAAGGTATTAGCATCTGTTATAGACATAGGGCAAGACCATCAAGACAAATACTCTCAAAGCATGCCAGTACAGACTGATAGAGAGAGGAGAAAATAGTGAAAGCATCTAGTCGTTGGACCCATCGAGTACGACAAAAATCCTTTAGCTTATTGAAGGTAGAAGATGGTTGTGTGCAGTGGCGTAGCCAGAGCTCAAGTAATGGTAGGGCACTGCATAAGGAAGGGTAGACTGAAGTGGCGCGCGAAGCGCGTCGCGATTTTGACCACACCCCTTTTTGTGTAAGCAATGGGGGCGTTTTCCTGTACACTGCGCAAATATAGACTTCAGCATACTACCAACACCATTCATGACTCAGTCTGTGCTGCGCCAATTACTATTTTATTGATGATACTATTATATTTGTGACCATAATTGACAAAAGGGCCCTTATGGTGGATTTTAAAAATGATTGTTATAATGGAAAATATCAACCTAAGAGTGCTTTGTTAGACAATCATTGTTTCTAAAAGTTTCATGGTAACTTTTTGCATCCTGTGGAGTAATTTTATGATGAATGGGGCTCAGGAAGTTGGATTTCTTAGGCTAGAAAGACAAATTTCACTACCCGCCATAAGGTACCTTTTGTCAATTATGGTCACATTTTATTGATAATATTGTTATTATTATTATTAATAAATAATAACAACATTGAATCATTTAACTTACTTGATGAGCTTCTGAAACAGGTTCAACTTCATTCTAATCACTCTCACAGACACAACTGCTTCTCATATAATTTATTATTGATTTTTGCATGCTCAATAATAATAATAACAATTATTATTATTATTAGTAGTAGTAGTAGTAGTAGTTACAGACGACCACACCCATGACATGGCCGCTTGGTCTCGGGCTTGAGCTACAAGTCCTGAAAGCCTGCTGCAGTTGGTTTTATTCAATTATTTTTAGAAGATTTTAACACCAATGAGGTACATTAAGTAAAATAGATTTAATTAGCGGATGGTAGTCTTGGTAGGGCAATGACAGCTCTTGCTGGGGCAAACAGTACCATTGGTCGGGCTGCAGCCCTAGTCCGCCCACCCTAGCTACGCCACTGGTTGTGTGTCAGAAATGACATCTTCAAGCTTTCTTTGTCTTTTAAGGTGAGCCTCAAAGAAGTATACTTTCCTGACTATATTCATGATGTTTCTTACACTGGTCAATGCCAAAGATTTCACAACAACTAAATTTAGGCAATGGGAAGCACAATGAAGTTATTGTGCCTGGGAGTGTTGCTCTGTAATAATAGCTGCTGTACCTCTAATAGACCAAGACATATTGCCTGCTCCATCATATGCCTGTCCCCGTAAATAGGAGAGATCAAGACCAAATGACTGCAGATGGGTGAGGATCATATTGGCTAGCTGTCGCCCAGTAATACCTTCATTGCACTGAAAAAAGCCAACAAGGTCTTCACAAGGAAGAGAATCTGGCTCACAATACCGTACTACCAAGCTGAGTATCTCCTTATTAGAGACATGAGTGACCTCATCGGCTATTATACAAAACCACTTAGCTACCTTAACTATATCAATTATATGCTGTCGTACTTGTTTTGATAGAATATCCATAAGCTGATTCTGGATGACAGAGGATGTGTATGTAGCATTACGAGATGCTTTGGATAGATGGTCTCTGAGAACAACATCACCAGCATCTACCCTAAAATTGAGTAGGGCCATGAAGTTCCCGTGGTTATGTAAACAGGCAGTATCTCTTTCAATATCTGTGAAGTTGTCTTGGTGTCCTCTTAAGCTGATGTTTTGTCGCCCACATAGAAAAATGGTTTTGCTTATTGAAGCCAGTTTCAATCTGTTTTGGGCGACTTGATTGGCAGTTGTTTGATTGAGGACAGAGCTAATAGGAGGCTGTTGTTGACTCATCACTTTCAAGAAATTGTCTCGACGAACAATGGAATTTAGATGATGTTCTTTACGTACATGGTTACGTAAAATATCCAGAGCTTTCTTGAAGTTTGTGAGCAGTTTACTGACAAGCACTCCTGGATCAGTATTGTGATATCCTCTAGTGGCGAAGAGGACACATGGGAGACAGTATCCACCATTCTCCTGACTGCTGTATACCAACCATGGAAATTGGTGAAGCCATTGATGCTGGAATGAATGACTCTCCTTGCCTTTTTGGGAATGTGTCACTGATCTCGGGGTTGGAATGTGTCATCAAAATTTGATATTTGTCAGAATCAGTCAAATGGCTTCCTACACAATTGGCTATATTGTCAAGTTGTGTTGCTGGTTGTTTTGAAGGTGGATGGCGGGCCTCATGGTCATTATCAGTGTCAAGTACAGTGTCTACACTGTTAGTGGACTCAGTGGATTCATTAACTAAAGATATTTTATGCATGGATTATTTTTGTAATAATTATTCTACTATTATTAGTCTTAATTTATTTCAACTAGCTTTACATAAATTGTTTATACACTTTACCTGATGATGTACCCCTTCCTGTTGCTTTTTGCAAGTAATAATGTAGCGTACGTTTCATATTGGTGATAACTGACAAACCACTGATTATAAGAAGTCTTAATAGTAGCAATAAGTACTAGCATAGATACTTTAATGGGACTAGTAGCAGCAAATGCATGTATAATAAAAACTAATTTTCATTGCATTTGCAAGTCAGACCCATTTCAATTTTAAGTATGGCCGCAGTGGAATAGAATCATATCACAATCGATCGTAACCTGTCTGTTTTGGCTTACTTCTGAGTAAAACTACTTATTCATTGAGTATAAAGGTGAGCTCTGGTTCTTTTTGGAACATTTATGTAAGCAAAATGTCACAAAAAATTTTCCGTCTGTATGAGGGGGTGCGCTAGCCCCATGAGCCCCCCCATGGATACGCTAGTGAATTGCCATGCACTGTACTTGTTTCAGAAGATTCTGAGACAAGAAGTTCACTTGCTCTCACATTTCTTATGTGTAGCAATAAACTAAACAATATAAAATGTGACCATAATTGACAAAAGGTACCTTATGGCAGATTTTGAAATTCATCATTATTGTGAAAAAATATTAACCTGTAAATGCTTCATTACACAATCATTGTTTCTAGAAGTTACACAATAACATTGCATCCTCTGAAGTATTTTATGATAAATGAAGCTCAAGAAGTTGGATTTTTGAGGCTGTAAAGACCAATTTTCCTATTGGCTATAAGGTTCCTTTTGTCAATTATGGTCACAATGGATAATCTAATCATTAGTCATAAAATATGAGGAGGCTGGAAGCTTGAGATGAGGTTCATAAGTGAGATTATGTATTGCAGATACCACAATGGTATATAGAGAAAGATATATATCTTTCATGCGAAACATCATAATGACACCATACACCGTTGTGATTTTCAGTATGCCTAAAGGAAAGTAATTCAATTTAGTTTAAGATATGTGTACTACAAATATGGAATAAAAATTAAGATAGGAAGAAGTAAAGTATGACATAGATACCCAAATGCTGTGACGAGCAGTGGCTATATGTGGGAGACATGAAGGCGGAGATAAAATTAATGAATATAACACAACAAGGAGAATAACAAACTTTCCAATGACACATTATCATTTTCTATCTATTGGATCAGAAAACGGAAAGCAAAAGGATAAAGCTATGAACATTCAGTGTTATTCATTTGTATTTTTCAAGAAGCGTTAGGGCTTGAAAATGTTTCTAAAATAAGTAACATTAATAATTACTAAGAAAATGAAATTTATAGTATTTCCTCCATTAAATGTCCTGGCATTTATTTCTTAACACAAAAATAAATCAGGTATAAGAAAACAAAGACTCGAGTGGATTCGAACCAGCGACCTTCTTGCATTCGAAACCGAACTCCATTAGTCAGGCTATCTTGCACAATCTAAATTTTATAGCACACATACTGTTAGAAATAATAGTAATATAATGTACACTTGTCTATCTATCCTAATTATTATTCATATTGTATTTTTAGTTTGTGGTTATCTCATTTATACTTGTATAGGTGTTATACAAGTTGTGATGCATGCACAGTCTATTTTGTCTGTAACTATCTCTTGTTATTGATTTGTTCCGTTTCAGTCGTTATATTGTTCTCTCTTTGATGCTCTCTTGGCTCTGGTGTTTTCTCTTTCTCTCCCTTTTTGTTTGTCCTCTTGGTCTTAACATGAGTTTAAATCATATTTATTGTCAACTACAGTCTGCCTATCCATGCCAATTCCAATATCTTAACAGGTTATGAGCCCAGCAAGATGCAGAATCAAGGACTCTAAACTTAGTTCCGTTAATCAGTGGCAACTGTAGTACATGGAAGCTACAATATCAGATTGCTCTGATGAAAGAAGGGCTGTGGAGCATCGTTAATTCTACTAAAGTACTGCCAGCAGATGATGCTGATGATGCTACAAAAAGCCAGGAAGGATCGTGCTCTAGAAACAATGGTTCTTTCCATTGATACATCGTTGCTGTATCTGTTAGGGGAGCCGAAGGAGGCTGTTGAGGTCTGGAGAAAGCTCCAAGACCAGTTTCAAAAGAAGAACTGGATAAATAAGCTCATACTCCGTCGAAAACTTCATACGCTACATTTAGTAGCTGGAAAGTCGGTACAAGATCATGTCACAGAGATTACAGAGGTATTCAATGGTCTAACCATCATTGGAGCACCACTGGATGATGAGGACAAAGTAGTCCACTTGTTTGCTAGCCTACCAGAGAGCTATGACACTCTAGGAACTGCCTTAGAGGCAAATGAGACTGTCCCAACAATGGAGGTGGTCATAGATCAATTATCCTGTGAAGAGAGGATGGTAAAGGAGCGTGAAAGCAGCAGTGGAGCTTATGGTCTGCATCATCGGACAAATCACAGCCAGCAGAGAAAAGGAAGCAGAGTATACGGTGTCACAATTGCAAGAGACTGGGACACATGCAAAGAGACTGTTGTGATAAACTCGAAGCCGAAAGAAGAGGAGATGCTGTTCTAGTGCTAGAAGCCAGAGACCAAGGAGTGTACACCTGAAGGGTAAGCAAAATCAGAAACATGGTGTTAGTGTTGGCCTCATAGCCACACACGCACTTTTTGCTAATTGGGACAATTTCTCAGAGAAATGGATTCTCGATTCTGGAGCAACATGCCATACTTGCTGTAACCAAAAGCTGTTCGATGAGCTAGAGTCAAGTCAAGACATTACTCTAGGAGATGGTCGTATAATCAAGTCAGCTATTTGTGTTACAGTAAAAGTGAAGCTCACACAGAGATGGTTTGTACAGAGACTGTACAGTACATGACGTTCTATTTGTACCCAATTTATCATTGAATCTCCTCAGTATTGCTAAAGCAGCAGAATATGGAAAGGTACTCACCTTTGATGATTCAACCTGTAATATTATTAGCAAAGGAGTTGTGGTATAGGATCAGCCACTAAAGCTGTTAGTCTATATTATCTGGACAGTGAGAGCTATAGCGTTAAACTGAGGGTAAACACTGCTAAGACCAGGACCGGAGTCAATATTTGGCATCGAAGATACAGTCACCCGGTTATCATAAGTCTGAAGAAGCTGGCTATGGATGGACTAGTTAGAAGGATGAGCAGTGATGATGTATCCAATGAAGTGAAACTCTGAATCCTGTATAAAATGAAAGCTCTATCGTACACTGTTTCCCTCTACTACTGGTAGAAGAGCTGAAGAGGAACTACAGTTAGTTCACAGTGATGTCTGTGGAAAGGTGAATAGCGAATCACTCAGTGGAGGTGAGTACTTTCTGACATTTGTTGGTGACAGTACTAGATATGTTTGGGTGTACATATTGAAACAAAAGAGGGGTGTTTGAGCGTTTTCTAGAATAAAAGATAATGGTAGTGAAATGTACTGGTAAGATATTACAAATTCTTCGCACTGATAATGGTGGAGAGTGCACTTCCCATACGTTTGAAACATATCTCAAGAGTGAAGGGGTTGAGCATGAGCTTACTATTCCCAATATGCCTGAGCAAAATGGGGTTGCAGAGCATTTGAATATGACTCTAATGGAGTCAGTAAGGTCAATGTTGATTGGAGGTCAACTACTTAAAAGATTTTGGGTAGAGGCCTCATCTACAGGTGTGTACAGTAGAAAGAGAAGCCCCATCAATGTAATTCAGGAAGTCACACCATATGAAGCCTTGCTAGGTGTTAAGCCTAAGGTCAATCATTTTAGAATATTTAGTTGTGTGGCATATGCACATATATGCAAGGAGGAAAGACGTAAAGTAAACCTAAAAGCAACAAAATGCATTCTCCTTGGGTATGGTTCAGCTGTTAAAGGTTACTGATTGTACTATTGATGAAAGAAAAGTATTCTTCAGTAGAGATGTTATATTTGATGAGAGTAAAACAGGTATTGAGCAATAACAGGAAACAGAGTCTGAGAAGTTAGTAAATATTGAGTTAATTTGTGGTAATCTGTCTGATCCTGAGCCGACAGATGCAGTTGAGAAAGAAGTTGAGCAGGAAAAGACTATTGATAATGCAGAAGACAATGAAAGAGAATCTCCAGTTCTACGACAATCAACAAGAGAGAGAAGACCACCTGACTACTATGGTGAGTACGTGAATGTTACTATGGAAGATCTACCTCCAGAACCAACAACAGTTGAGGAAGCCTTGGCTAGTCCTGAGCATAAGAAATGGAAGAAAACCATGAATAAAGA